TCTGGCCTTCTCCACCCCAGTTTTGTTCTTCTCTGTAGCAGCTTTTAGGGCAGAATATCTCTTTTGCTTAACATTTCTTTGTTTTTTGTCCCCGTCATACATGCATCTAGGACACTAGTCGTGGCAGTGGTGTCTGGTGCTTGTTGCCTGGTGTAGAAGTTAGGAGTCTGTTTCAGTTTTGTTTTGTTGTTGTGATAGACGCTATAACAAAAGCAACTGAAGCTCGGGTGGTGGCGGTACCTGCCTTGATCCCTGGAGGCAGATCTCTGTGCATTTGAGGTCAGCCTGGTCTACAAAGCAAGTTCCAGGACAGTCAGAATTTTTACACAGAGAAGCCTTTTCAAAAAAGAAAGGAAGGAAGGAAGAAAAGCAACTTAAGAAAGGATTTATTTGGTGATTCATAATTCCTGGTTTCAGTTCTTCATCGTGGGAAAGTCAAGATGGCAGGGTGAAGCAGCTGGTCACATGACCTCCATAATCAAGAGCAAAGAGCAGTGACTTCATAGACGCGCAAGCGCCCAGTTGGCTCACTTTCTCTTCTCATGCAGTTCAGCATCCTTTGCCTAGGGGATGGTGCAACTCACAGTGGGCAGCTCTTCCCACTTCAGTTAAAACAGAATTCTCACTGACAGGACCACAGAGCAGCCTAATCTAGACAGCCCCTCAATGAGATTCCCAAGCCATGTGTCACGTTAATGACTTAGAGCCCTTGATGGATAGACACGCTTGATGTACAGTTTGGGCTTCATAAAAACAGAACCACATGTGGGAGTGCCATTGTAAACTCTTCAGATGCCTCTACAGAAGTATTATCAAGGATAATGGCAACAGAATTTTTTATTAATTTATTAGTTTTTATTGATTATTTTCTGTGTTTAAGAAAGTGAGTGAGAGCGGAGAGGGAGGGAGGAAGGTGGGAGAAAGAGAGAAAAGGGAGGCAAAGTCGGGGGCAGGGGCAGGATGAAAAGGGATGTGGAGTTGGAGATTGTAGAGTTCTTGCCCAAGGCTCTGTTCCTGCCTGGAGGCAAGACTCCAAAAGTCTGACCCTGAAAACCTTAGAGCTCTCCTGGGGAGAGAGAAAGGCAATGTTGTATCTGCTGCCTTGTAGCCTTTTGGGAGAGGAGATAATAGTAACAAATAATATCTACTAGTATGGAAACATTGTAGTTAGCAGTTTACCATTTCATGGACAGGGACGTCAAAGGCCTTACTTATCAGCATTGCCAGTAGAACTGTGTAGGATTCTACAGTGTTTCAGCCCGAGAAGAAACTGTAACAGTTAAGAAATCAAAGCAGGCAATTGAAAATGGTTACAGATTTCATGTAGTGTTGCCATTTGTATCAAATTGTGATAGGTCATTAAGGTAATTTGGCAACCCACCTTTGTCTTTACAAATGCTTGGAAAAACAAAACAAAACAAAACAAACCACTGAAGCAAGTTAGCTTAAGTCCAGCCAATTTACAGATAGATAGGCAGGGAAAGGAAACAGCTGCTGGTATTTACTCAGAAAGTTATTCCTAGACACACAGATAGCACCAAGGCCGCCGGCCCAGATTGTGGAACAAATGTCTTTTCCTAAAACCCAGGCTCATTTTCAGAGAATGCACCAAGAATTTTATTTTAAGTCAGCATGTAGCACATGCCTGTAATTGTAGCTCATAGGAAGTAGAGGCAGAAGGATCAGGCAACCTCTATTGTATAGTGATTTTGAGACCCTGTTTAAAATTGAAGAAGAAAAGGGAGAAAGAGGAGGAGATTAAGATTGCCATTTGGATTTATTTGTTTGAGTATTTGAGACAGAGTCTTGGCTATATGCTTAGCCCAACCTTGAACTCTCACCAAATTATAGGCATGTGCCTTCATGCCTAGCCAACCTACACTTTCAAAAAATTAAATTAATAAATACAGGCACTGTGTACCCCTTTGCCCTGCTGAGACAGCAGCAGGCATGTCACAGTGGCTGGGGTATATGGCCCATATATTCCTTTTTTAAAACATTGCATTATTACATGACGATCAGCTGGTTTTGTTTGTTTGTTTTCAAGCTCAATACCTTTTCTCCTCTTCTCTTAGTTCTGTTGAGGATGCTAACGCAATCTGTGACCTGGAGTTGATAGCATTAAACCCAGTCTCTCATCTATAAAATGAGATATTAGTGTTTACTTTGAAAGCTTATCATACTGTTTATATGAAACATCATTTTTCAAAGGGCTTAATATAATGCTTGGCACAAAGTTGACGCTAGAAAAATTATGGTATTTCCTTCCCTCTTTCCCATCATAAACCTATGCATATTTTTTTCTTTCTGAAATTACTTTGAGTATCAGCCTTAAAATTCATAATAATGTTTGGCTTCTGAAATATGCTAGCTATTTTGTTCATGTACTTTGGAAGTTAGTGAAGAATTATTTTCTTTCTTCTAAAAAATTTTATTTTATTTGTCTTTTTGAGACAGGATTTCTCTGTGTAATAGTCCTGGCTGTCCTGAAACTCGTTTTTTTTAGACCAAGCTGACCTTGAACTCACTGAGATCCTCTAGCCTCTGCCCCAAGTGCTGGGACTAAAGGCATGCACCACTACTGCCCAGCTTCTAAAAGATTTGTACTCTTTGAGAATGTCAAATCATACATTTTGAGTACCCCAACTCCTCCCAGATTCATCCTCATCTCCCCACCCCCAACTTTATGTTTTCTTTTTTAATTGTTGTTGATATCCCATGGACTTCAGTTTGTGCCGCCCTCTACTGTGTGGGGGACCCATCCCTTGGAAGATGGTCTATCCACCAGGAACCACACCCTTGAAAACTGACTGCCCAGAGCGCCTTGGTTAGGGGTGAAGGCTAACACACCCTTTTCACTCCGTGATCCAGTGTTGACAGTGATCCTGCCCAGGTCTGTGCCGACAACCATGGCTGCAGAGTAGTCCCTGAGTCCCATGGTCCTGCCATGTCCAGCAGGTCTGTGCAGACAACCACGGCTGCTGTGTCCCTGAGTGCCGTGGTCCCGTCGTGTCCAGAAGACACTGTTGTGCTTCAGGTCTGACCTTTGGCTCTTACCATTTTTTTGTTCCTTTTTCTGAGCTAGCCCCAAGTCTTAGGGAGGGGGTGTGATGATATAGATGGTCCATTTGGTGTAAGCCTTCCACTAACCCTCCTTCTCTCACTAACCCCTCTTTTCCATACTGTGACCAGTTATAAAATTCTGGGTTAACTGCCATCCACGTAAAGAAACTTACATCACCGATGAGATCTGAGAGCTGTGTTGTCATTGGGTAGAGAGCTACAAATTTAGAAGACAGCTTGATACTATGTCCATGGAAGAGAATAAATAATAGTCGGTTTGCTAGATGTGGTGGCATATATTTATAATCTCAGCACTTAAGAGGCAGAGACAGGCTAATCTCTGTGAGTTCTAGACCAGCCTGATCGGCATAGTGAGTTCCAGGCTGTCCAAGGCTACACAGTGTGACCCTGTCCCAAATACACACAGTAGTGGATTCACCCATGTGACCTGGGAGCCCCCAACCATGGATTCTTGGCCAGATTTACAGTACCAGGCATGTGTTTGCTCTTGTATAGAGGCCTTAGATCCAAGCAGAATCCATTTGTCTACTGCTGTATCTGTGAGCACACATTTCCGGTCTAGTCATTATTGCAGTTCACTCGATTCACAGCCGAGGAAGCCACTGATGTTTTCTTTACCTCCCGGCAGCCTGCACAGTGCCTCCCAGTACTACGAAAGCTGAGTGGTAGGAAGGAAGCTTCCTGGTCAGTACCCATGACAACTGTGTAATATCTTCAGCAATAGGGTCTTACCATGAAGTTCTGGTGGTCAACCAAGAGCTATGGCGATCGGCTGTATTGTTTGGGGTAGGGGAGGGAGTCTCATGGACACCACTAGCCAACAACTTAGTGGAAGGTATTCCACACCTGGCACTGGGTCCAATTAAATTCCATACAAATATCTGGAAGTTTAATAAGAGAAAGTTTCTATGTCTTTTTCAAAGTCCTTATTAGTTATCCCTATCCAATACCCTGCTCTGCTCTGCCCCCATCTCTCTCCCTCGCCACTATTTCCCTTTCCCCTCATGGCACCTGTGTTCTACTCTTCTCGCTCCCTTAAGGTCTGGGGGAGGGGGGAGTTGGAGAGGAGTTGGGGGGAGATGGCGCACACCTTTAATCTCAGCACTTAGGAGGTCAAGGCAGGCAGATCTCTGAGTTTGAGGCCAGCCTGGTCTACAGGGTTCCAGGACACCTGTGACTACACAGAGAAACCATGTCTTGAAACAAACAAACAACCAAACAAAAAAGGATCTTCCTTTCCTTCCCAACAACGGTCCCTTTCTGATTTCCTGTGCACTGAGTGTTGTCCTAACTTAACACCCAGATCTTAAGATGTGATGCTAAGATCCACATATGAGTGAGAATGTAGTGTTTGTCTTTCTGGGTCTGGGCTATCTCAACCATTTTACCACAGATTTCATTTTTCTTTACAGCTGAGTGAAATTTCTTGAAGAACGTTCACCACATTCTCATTATCCATTCCTTAGTTGATGGGATGAGTCTGTGTCTCTGTAGTCGGAAATAGAGTTCTTTGGGTATATGCCCAGGAGTGGTGTAGTAGGGTTAGAAAGTGGATCTATTTCTGGTTTCCCGAGAAAATGTCACATTGATTTCCATAGTGGCAGAGCCAATATGTACCTCCGGCAATGTATGAGGGTTCCCTGATTCCCAACATTTGTTGCTTTTTCTTGCCTCAATCTCAGCCATTCTGTCTGGGTTAACATGGTATCTCAAAAAAGTTTTTATTTTCTTTTCCCTGATAGCTAAGAACGATGAACATTTTTTTTAAAACAATATTTTTTAGCCACTTCTATTTCTGAGAGCCATTTTCTAATTCAAATGTGAGCCCTGACTTCTCGCCTCCAGGATGGTTGCTAGTTGGGTGTACCCACGTGTTTACTCGTGAGCTCTGCTTACAGCTGCTGTTTCTCTTCCAGATGAGCACCTTCCACTGACCAACAACGATGGCGTTCAAGGACAGCAGCAGCAGCAGCAGGTAAGCAGGGAGTCCACAATCCAAAAGAGTTGAACATTTAAAGTGACATTTTACTTCAGAATCTGATCTTCACAGAAGTCCCAATGGGGCATGGGGCCTCTTGCCTATAATTCCAGCACTCTAGAGTCTGAGGCCAGCTCGGGCCACACAGAGTTATAGGTCAGCCGGGGTTCTGTCAAGAGACCAGGTCTCAAAAAGTCAAGCAAGTAAACTTGACAAACCAATTCGGTAAACCAGGCGTGGTGGTGCATGCCCTTAATTCCAACACTTGGGAGGCAGAGGCAGGCGGATCTCTGGATGTTTGGGGAGTGTGATAGTACACACTTGTTGAAGGGCTGGAGAGGTCAAGATGAGGGATTATCAGAAGTTCAGGGCCCGTCAAGAATATACACTGGTATGTGGGGGGGAGTGAGGCTGCTATTTAGTTCACCAAATTCCATGTTCGGAATACTGGCTCATGCGTCACTGGTTCCAGGGAACACTCACTGAGGCTGTGCTGAAACAAATGTCCTTATGTGTGCCTCGGTGGATGGAATTTTCTAATCCTTGTCTTATACTCCCCTCATCTCTTCTACCCAGCATGTTCTGCTTGAGTCTCCTTTTTTTGTACTAAGGGGCAGGTGTTTCTTGTGTAGTGTGTATTTTCTACCTTCATGATGTGTGTTTGTATTAGCCAACTTTTTGATGCAGTCTTGAAGAATAATTCAGTGGACATCGAGAAAGAATTTTCAATAAAATGAAAAAGTTATCTAAATTAGCTATTAAAAACACACAGAAAGAAAGAAAGAAAGAAAGAAAGAAAGAAAGAAAGAAAGGCAAGGCAAGGCAAGACAGAAGGAAAGAAAGAAGGAACTGACTCAAACTACTCAATAAATATTTTTTGAATGCGAGGGGTTGGAGCCTAGAAACTCAGGACATTGTCTGTCCTTGCCCTGAAGAATCATTTGTGGATTCAGTGTCAGGTGACTCAGCTGTGAAGCGTACATTCTCTTCCCCACTACAGGGACAGCATGGGACCTTCAAAGACCTCAGCGGAAAGGACTCTCATTTGTCTTTGGTTTGATCATAATTTTGGCTACACATAAGTCTTGAATTTTTGCATAAATGTCTTGTCGTTTATAGATTGGTTTTGATGGCACTTCCAAAGGTCTTTCCTACTCCACGTCTGTGGAAAGTGATGTATTCTGTATTCTTAACTGACATTTAAATGCTTTCTGTCTTTTTCATTTAAATGAGAATTTGTAAGCTGGTGGTTTGTGGGATGAATCTGGTGTACACGTCGGCTTTGGTGAGTGTAGGGCCCAGCCGTGAGTACTCAATAGAGACCACCCAGACACCACCCAGGAACAGACTATCCAAGGGGAAATACCTAAAATTCCAGCCATTATAGACGTTGATCACCTCCCGTCCCTTAGCCTAGCACACACCCATTACTTGTCACTGAGACACCCCTAGATAAATGTCAACCAATCAGGGGTCCTGAACCTTAGAAATCCCCTCACCCCCAACCTCTGCTATGGTAAAAACCTCACCCCAACTGGGCTCATGGCTCTCCAACCTCACTGCTATATTGGATGGATGGATGGTCCAAGGTCGAACTTGAATAAAGGCTCTTTGTTTTTGTAGACTCAATGATGGTTTGGGGGGGGGGGGAGACCCTGTGATCTCAACATAACAGCAAGGGCTACACAGAGAAATTCTGCCTTGAAACCCCTTCCCCCCAAAAAAGAATTTTTTTTGACAGAGCTATATTTTAAACATCCTTTCCTTTAAATTTTTCTTATTGCATTTATTTATTTGTGTGTGTGTGTGTGTGTGTGTGTGTATGTGTGTATGTGTGTATGTAGTACACGGGCACGTGCACACCACAGATGTGTGTAGAGGAAGAACACTTTGCAGTGTGCAGGAGTTGATTCCTTCTTTCCACTGTGTGGGTTCCAGAGATGGAACTCGTTTGCCAGGTTTCATGACTTTCCTTTACCACTGAGCCACCTCACAGTGCCTCCAAGCACCATTTAGGCTAAGTTTGGAGGAAAAGGCTCGTATTGATGAGGACAAATGGCCGTGTGAGCAGCTAGTTCAAATTCAAGCCACATTCTCAGTCCCCCTATCTTTGAATTGCTTTGACTGGAGTTTCTGATTGGTTTTTCCCCCTTACTGAAGCAGAACCTTTTTTTTTTTCTTTTGGTTTTATTTCACTCATGAGTTCGTTTTTTTTTTTTTTAACCCATTTTAAATCAGTCACCGTGACTTCTCATTTTCTTCTTTGAATCTTAAAGGTAAATTTAAATTTTTCATACCGTGCACTAAATTGTCTTCTGGGGTTGGGCCCAGGTGTGGCAGTGGGACCAGAATAAGCTGAGAGATAGTCAGGATATGTTTGTTTCATAGCTGAGGAAAATAGATTTTATTTCACAGTCTCCTGCTCGAGTTTGGGTATGATTTAACTGTCTCCATGAAGGGGTTCTTGTCAGAGAATCTGATGAGTTTTTCGGTGTTCATGAAACCCTGGGGGATTGCATTCTATGATCCCTGCTCTGGCCAGTGCCTCTCTCCCGCAGAAAGCCTCCAGCACCAAGTGATTCTCCTAATTGAGAAGAGTGCCCAATTACTGAGGAAGCTACAAGGTGTTAAAGCAGATTAGCGCCTATTATTCCGACAGATTTTCCCAGGCTGAGTAAACCAGGGACTAAGTCCTACATGCTTACTGAAGAGATTAATGGTCCTTGGCCATGGTTTTGTGTTTTTTTCCCTCTGAAATAGCGATTGGTTTGGGCATTGTAAAGAATCCACACCTGGAAACATGAACCGGGAGTGTGAAGAAGGTCCTTGAGGTTTTCAAGCTTCAACCTAACTTACAAGCTTCATGCTGTTGCTTGCTGCTGCTGGCACAGGACTTGGCCTTCCGGTGTTAAAGAAACACGGTGCTAATTGGCAGGTTCATGTCATTGTCCCCTGCAGCTTTAAATGAGTCAGTCCAGATTGATGGCCTTAGGAAGGCTTAGTTTGGGGTCTGTCCCAGACAAGGGAGAATCATTTTTATAATTACTTTCTGAAGGGTCGGTTAATTTAGTGGCGGGAGATTAAATTGTAGAAGTAGAAGCAGTGAAGGCTTGCCCGGTAAAGATTAGGTCTCCTCAGCTCAGTCACCACCAAGGTCACATCCCGCTCACAGTGGGGGTCCGAGACCAGCTGCTGTGGGGGCCTCTTCTGTGACGTGGATAGAAAGGTGGATTGATTGATTGGCTTTTAGAGCCGTGTTGAAGCCGGCTAAGGGCATCACGCACATAAAGCGCTTATCGATGTGCCTGGACCATCTTACACCACAGTCTGGCACCAGTTTGCCACTCCGCCAAGGTAGTGTGGAGTCTTGCATGGACGTTCATTCTCCTTCAACAGGCAGGGTTTGGTTAGCACCCAGAGCCTAGAAAAGAGGAGAAACTTCTAGAACGGCGTCAGTGGGAAGGACCTTGAGAGGCTGACGCGGAGGCACAGGTCGCAGACCAATTACCACCACTGCTTGCTCCCAGACTACTGCTCAGTACCTCTGTAAATTATTCGTCCCAAGTACACAAGCGAGGCACACAACAGGAGGTAGCCCAACGTCTGTGTTCACTGTAATCTAGTTCATCTTTAAGAATGGCTGTGGGGGGGGTGCGGGGGGAGTCCAGCGGTGGCGGCACGTACCTTTTATTCCAGCTCTGGGAGGCAGAGGTAGACCTCTGTGAGTTTGAGGCTAGCCTGCCTAGTCTACAAAGCAAGTTCCAGGACAGCCAGGGCTACACAGAGAAATTCTGTCTTGAAAAAAACCACGAACAAACAAACAAACAAGTAAAAAGTACCTGTGGGGTTGCCCCAACTCACACAAAGAACTAACCATAAAAAGTATTCTGTCATAAAATATTTTCTCTTCTCTATCAATCAGTTGAGGTGTAATTTATACACCTTTAAAGAAGAGAGGCTAACACTTTAGCCCACTTTTATTCTTTAATATTTGTTTAATTTTATGTGTATGTAATTTTATGTGTATGGTTATTTTGCCTGCTTGTATGTATATGTACTATGTGCATGCCTGGTACCCATGGAGACCAGAAGAGGGCACTGGACGCCACGCTGGGGTTGGGAGCAGAACCTGGGCTCTTGCCAGAGTAACTGGGGCTCTCAACTGCTAAGCCATCTCCCCAACTCCATGATAGTCCACCTTTAGAGCATCTCTCATCACTAGAAGGTGAAGTTGTTGTTTTGTAGCTAACCCAGGTACCCCCTCCTCACCTATGTAATGATATTAAGCATTCGCCAGCTTGATACTTTCATCTGCTCTGCATGGTTTATACATATGTACATGTGTGTTGTAGCATGCATTTATTTCATTCCTTTTTATTGCCAAGTAACACGCCGCTGTCTAGGTTGTTGTCTTTTTCTTGCTGTTCATTGTCTTCTACTCTGAATAACGCGCATGTGTTCTGTGTGGGTGGAGGGCGGGCGTTCAGGAGAGGGATTGTGTGCTTGTGAGGCAGATGCGTCCAGGGGCACCTACAGATTATTCTAAGCACTCGGTTTTAGAGGCAGGAGGTGGTTTCAGGATCATTTGCATGTGGCTTGCCTCTCTGCCTTCAGCCCCAGCTGTACAAACGCTGACAAGCGGAAGCCGATGACTTAATCTATTCCTTGCTGTCTGTGTAATGCACCCTGTCCAGGCCTCCCTATCTGCTTAGGTGTGAATGAGCAGGCTGCATGTTTTTGGACTCCTGCTGGATGCGAAGGCAGGAAGAATTCACTTCTTTTTGAACAGCTTCAGCTGTGCTGAGTCCTAGTCTGTGAAACTGGTTAGGAGCTTCCTTCAGAATTCAGAGACCAGAGTTAGAATTGCAATCCTGCTTCCCCCTAATTTTCACAAGTTTGGGGGACATAATTTCACATCTCGACTTTTGTTTATTGTCCTCGTAGTCCTGGGAATAGGAAAGGCACAGTGAGTGTGTGGCTAAGGCCACGGGACGCTG